AGTCAAAGGCCTCATGCATCTAAGAAGGACTGCCTCCACAGATCATTAATAAGGAAATTCCCTGCTAGCCTTCCATAACAAGGATGTGCAAATTGTAACTTTAGGTCTGCAGGCTAAGTCTAGCTCCCAAAACTAGTGTCTAGCTCCTAAAACTAGTGTGGAGTCTATTGGACTCCACTCTAATAATGTTGATTATAATTTTATCTTCCCAGGTGCAGAACAGAGACAAGATCAATCATTCCTCCACCTACCCAGGGACATCTACATAATTGATTCTTCCTTCACCCTCTTTTTATAATATCTTCAAACACTCACCTTATCTTATGTAAAATGTGGATTTCCTGGACCTCAAAAGAATGTAACCATTTAGCCTCACTGCCCACCCCCCTCCTTTTTCTTTCTGTATACCCCTCCCCTTTAAATACTAACATTCCCAAATCCCCCTTCCGTAAAATACTGACAGATGCATCTATGGTTTTTGTTTTCCCAGTTGTGTCCTCAAACTTTGGCTTAATAAATCTCCATGGATTGAGATCTTTGCCTCAGTCACTTATTTTGGGTTGTCAAAAGCAAATAAGTACCTTTACATCTCTATTCATTCCCTTCACTACGTTGCCTGGAAACTGGTAGGAAATGAAGGTTCACGCTACAATGAATTTGACCTCTCACCAGTTTTCAGATACATTCTCTGTCTTAAAGACGAAAGAAAATGTGTCATGCAATTTAGAAACATTTCTGCCTTAAAATAATAAAATGTAAAAAGTCTTCTAAGAGTCTTTTAAGCTTCAGGTAGTCAAAAGATTCATTTACGTGAAAGAGCACCTTGCCAGGTGGGTAAGAAGTTAGTGGAAAGTGTCCAACACTATAGTTCAGTGACAATACACTCAGGATTGCTCTAATTTCCAAAAGGTTAATGTGGCTGCAGGGACCACGTGCCAGGGCAACCCATCCCCTGGCCAGTAAACTCTGACCTCTCCACTCTAAGCACACATCCTTCCTCACTGGTAGCCCCCAGCCATGGTCCAAACATTCATCTAGTAAGCCTCTAAATGACAAAACACATGTGAAAGTACTCTCTGGGCTTTAACTCTCCCACAAGTAGAAGGAAAGTAACCATAGCAGTATACCATTTGTGTACATTTATTGAGCACTCGTTGTATGCCAAGCCTTGTATAGAACACTTTTTAAATGCCACATTTCACTTAATCCACTTAATATTACTTTGAGGAAGCCACTATGACTGTCCCAATTTTTCCGGTGAGGAAAGTGAGGATTAAAATGAATGGGTGACTGGGCCAAGTTCACACACCAATGAGTATTAGAGCTGAAAATGCAACCCAAGCATATAGGGCTTTAAAGGGTAAACTAAAAATGAAATCCTAAGCACCCCTGCCAACTGAATGGACCCCCTCTTGGCCCAGAGGACCCCAGAGAAACCTTAAAACTGAGTTCCTTGCCATGAAGGGGAAGAAGGTTGGACACAATTTCATTATATCTGCTCTCTTTTGGGGTTTAGCTACAATTGACGGGAATTAATATTAAAACAGAGATCATAAGACTGACAGAACAGACTCCTTGTGACAATAAGATACTAAATTATTAACAGGAATTTAAGGCCATGTAAGGCAAAGGTTAAATCACACCTGCAGGCCATCAATTTGCTTAATGGATCACTTGAGTCAGTGTATTGGGTCAGTGTACTCTCTTTAACAGACTTCTTTATCCTAACTTAAAACATTCCAAACCTTTAGACAAGACTTTCTTTCTTTAACCAATTATAAACCAAAGAATTATTGAACCCACCTATAACTTCCCCCCTTCAAGACATCCTGCCTTTTCAGGACAAACCAATGCATACCTTCCATGTATTGATTTATGATTTTATGTGTAATTCCTGTCTCCATGAATGTATGAAAGCAAACTGTAACTGGCTGCCTCGGGTGCATTTTCTCAAGACCTCTTGAGACTGTGCTCCCTGGGCCATCATCACACATATTCAGCTCAGAATAAACCTATTTTATTTTACAGAGCTTAGATTTTTTTCATTAACAGAGCCATCCTTCAGTCACTACACAACCCTCCTGACGAGAGAGCACTCAAAGAGACCATGTCTTCAGCAACTAAAGAGTGGGCAAGAAAATGGTTAAGGAGAAGAATTTTAGTGATTGTCATGGGAACATGAAAAAAAAAAATCAGATACAAAACTCCCATCTGAAGCATTTGATGGCAGGAGGCTGAGAAACATTCTGATCCTGTGGTAGGATTTCCATCTTGGCTTTGGGAACAGAACAGAGAGAGCGAGCGAGAGAGCAAAGCAGATGAAGACACCTGTTTTCTATGAGCATCCTTGGTTAGTCAGGTTTATTTTAGACAGAGAGTCCCCAAAAGATGAAGCCTACAGGAGAACTGACCTCGGTGAGCTCCACCCTCCTCAGGTGAGCAGCCAAAGTGAAGGAGTCTGGCTAGAGACCTGGAGGACTGCTGTGAAATTTTAAGCACAGAGGGTTGGGGGAAGCTTGCGTGGTAGGTATCACCCCAGCCAAAACCATCACCAGGCTTGAGCTCCTCTGCTGTGTAAGTCACAGCACATTCATTTTTTAGCAAAATCACCTGGAGCCTTGCTAATGAGACCCCGGGGGCATTGGAACCCAATTAGAGGAGTGGGCCATGGAGACACCTCACCCCATTGTCACATAAACTTTGTGGTTTGGATTAACTTTAGAGGCTAAAAAGCCACTTTTTTATCCTTCTTTTAGGCTCCTGTACTGAGTCATCCCAAAATTCAGTATGTAGTTATTAAGCAGCTACTATATACAGGGTATGGTTTCGTGTCATCCATTTGGGGAAATAAGTTGGTGTTAAACATGAAGTGATCTAGGGTTTTTTTTGTTGTTGTTTTTTCTAAGAAGCAGAGACAAATGTGAACTAATCCAGCCCCTTGACTACCCACCTCATGTTAACACAGCACTTTGGGAAATGTTTGGACAGATAAGGGGTGCTATATAATATGGTGCTTAAAAGCATGGATGAAGGAGTCAAGCTGCCTTGTTTAAAGGCTGACTCTTCCATTACTACGTACATAATTATACCCTCAACAAGTGTCTTCATTTCTTTTTTTTTTTTTTTTTTTTTTTTTTGAGACAGAGTCTCGCTTTGTTGTCCAGGCTAGAGTGAGTGCCGTGGCGTCAGCCTAGCTCACAGCAACCTCAAACTCCTGGGCTCCAGTGATCCTTCTGCCTCAGCCTCCCGAGTAGCTGGGACTACAGGCATGCACCACTATGCCCGGCTAATTTTATATATATATATCAGTTGGCCAATTAATTTCTTTCTATTTATAGTAGAGACGGGGTCTCGCTCTTGCTCAGGCTGGTTTTGAACTCCTGACCTTGAGCAATCCGCCCGCCTCGGCCTCCCAAGAGCTAGGATTACAGGCGTGAGCCACAGCGCCTGGCCTGTCTTCATTTCTTAATGAAGGATGCCATTTCCTCATCTGCAACTTTTTCTTAGATTTAAAGAAATCAATAAACAAGTCCACAATAATAGTTGGAGAAATTAACTCCACTGCCCCAGAAAACAGTAGTATGATTAGATCAAAATTTCTGTAGAAACAGATCAGAACAACATATGAACCACTTCAACCTGATTGATATTTACAAAACCGATACACTGAAGAATCCACATTCTTTTCAAGTACACACTGTGCATTCTCTAGGATAGAACTTATGTTGGGCTATCAAACAAGTTTCAATAAATGTAAAAGGAATGATATTATTCAGTATGTTCTATGACCACTGTGGAATTAAGTTAGAAATCAGTAACAAGAAATCAAGGAAAAAAGTCTTTATTTGGAACAACACAGTTCTAAATAATTCATTGGTCAAAGAAGAAATCATTTACAATTAGAATATAACTGAATGATAATGAACTGAATGATAATAAAAATAAATGTGAAATCTTGCAGAATACAGCTAAAGCACTGCTTAAAGGAAGTTGACAGTTTTAAACTTATGTTAGAAAGGAACTAAAGTGTAAAATCCATGAGCTGTTCTTACCTTAGATTTACAAAGTAAAAGAAAGAACAAATTTAAATGCAATCTAAAAGGAAGGAAATAAGATAGAAATTTATCACATAGAAAACAAAAACAGAGACAAAATTTTAGACATAACCTAAATAATGGTTCTTTGAAAAGATCAACAAAACTAATAAATCCCCAAATAGACTGCTCAAGAAAAAAGACAGAAAGCATGAATTTTAATATTGAAAATGGGAAAGGATATCACTATAATCAGACAGAAAATAAAGGATGAGAGATTATTATGAGCAACTTGAAGTTTCAGTATCAATGTCATTTGATGACCTAACGTCCATCTAATCCATATCTTTAAAAGGATTTTTTTAGATTTTATATTGAATAAAATATTAAAAATCCAGGTGACTTTCGGGTACACTAAATATTTTAAAAGAGTTTCCTACTGTATTCATGTATAATAAAAAAAATTGTACCCCCTTAATATTTTGAAAATATTACCTGCTAGTAGTAAGTGCCAGGGCTAGGATTAGGGGTTGGGGTACATTCTTATGGTCTGGTGGCTGCTGGAAATAAGAGTCCAAAAAGGATGGCTAAAATATTACAGGACAGCAGTGAGGGCCCAGCGGCAGTTAAACATATACCTTAATCAGCAGGTACTTCCCGAGTGAAGACTAGGAAGGACTGGAGTACTCGTGCATGGTAAGTAACAAGAAACTAATGGGCCAAACAGCTGGAAGCAGAAGGAGGTAAAACGAGTGCTCAAGAGCAGATGAGCATGAACAGAAGAGAACTTTAGATATGAGAACCCAGGGAAATAAAATTATGCCTACAAAGTGGATATCACTGTCTAGCAGGCATCCTCAAACTACGGCCTTACGGGCCACCTAGCACATTTATCTGGCCCTCCAGGTGTTTTTGCCATGGCTGCCTGTCCTGCTTAGCAGCCAACTCGTCCCGGGCCCACAGTGCGCACTCTCCAACCGTCTGAGGAACAGTGAACTGGCCCCCTGTTTAAAAAGTTTGAGGACCCCTGGCTAGGACCTGAGTCCAGTGCTAGCATACGCTCGTGTGACTCTCTCCACAAGAGTCAACATTTCCTGTTCTGAGGACTAAAATGCTTCTAAAGTCAGCTTGCCCTGCTCAGAACCCTCTGGGCAAATCCTCACTATGGCAGGTCGAGAGAATTTCTACACATATGAGTGTTCAAACCCAAAGATACCTACGACCATTGCTCCCTGAGACAGTCCTTCTCTTCTCCCACCTGCCCCTTCACTACTCCCAGACTGACCCAGCTTTCTGGAAGAGTTCATTCTCTCCAGACCAGCCGACCTGCCTCGAGGCCACTGCCAGATGTGGAACCGCAGCACTAGAAGGCCTCTCTTACCTTTTCCATCTTGTCCAATGCCATAAAAATGAGGAAACTGAAACTTCAAGGAAGAAGGTGACTGGCCCAAGATCTCCCCATCAGGTTAGGTAGAGCCAGAGTGAGACCTTAGGGGTCCCAGTGTCCCACCCCATAGTCCCCTGTCTTCCCTAAATCAATCATCTATTTCTCTTCCCAAATCACTCTCCTTCCCACGAGTCTCCTCATGGCACTTTTCACTTCAGCATTCCTGAAGGAGTAAATGACAGGGTTTAGGAGTGGCGTGACCACCGTGTAAAATACGGCGACTATCTTGTCTGCAGGGAAGGTGACACAGGGCCTCATGTAGACGAAGGAGCAGGGTATGAAGAACAGGCCCACCACGGCCACGTGGGAGGCGCAGGTGGAGAGGGCCTTGCGCCGCCCCTCTGAGGTGCGGCTCCTCAGGGAGCACAGGATGACCAGGTAGGAAGCAAGCAGCACCGAGAAGCTGATCACCGAGATGGAGCCGCCGTTGGCGATGATTAGCAGCCCAATGAGGAACGTGTCCGCACAGGCCAGCTTCAGCACGGGGTGGACGTCACAGAAGTAGTGGTCAATGATGTTAGGGCCACAGAAGGGCAGCTGGAAAATGAGGACGGTTTGCCCAACGGAATGCAGCAGGCCCCCGCCCCATGCCGCCCCCACCAGGAGGCCACGCGCCCGTTGGTTCATGATGGTCGTGTAGTGCAAGGGCTTGCAGATGGCCACGTAGCGGTCGTAGGCCATCACTGTCAGGAGAAAGATCTCGGTGCCACCAAAGAAATGGAGGAAAAATATCTGCGTGATGCAGCCCTTGACGGAAATGACGTTCCTCTCGGAGAAAGAGTCGAAGATGAGCCTGGGGGCCGTGACAGAACAGTAACAGATCTCCACAAAGGACAGGTAGCTGAGGAAGAAATACATGGGGGAGGTGAGCCCTTTGCTGGCCATGATGGTCACCACGATGAGGCCATTGCCCATCAGGATGGCTGTGTACATGAGGAGAAAGATCACAGAAATAACCTTCTGTTTATCCCGGTTCTGAGAAAATCCCAAAAAAATGATGTCAGTCACATTGTTTGTAGCAGCCATGCTTTAAAGCCTGGGATAACAAACAGCCTGGAATCACAAAAATCAAAGAACTCTCCTCAATAATTAGAAACATCCTTCATCGGCCATGAGGACTATTGTCATTCTGCTCCCTCTTGAGTTCTTTCTCTGCCTTGGATTTCGCCAAAACACGTTCTCTACGAGCAAACACAGTGGCAATCATCAGCTGCTTGATAGTATTCCCCAAATAAAACTTGACTGCGAGGCCGGGCACGGTGGCTCACGCCTGTAATCCTAGCACTCTGGGAGCCCAAGGCAGGTGGATTGCTCAAGGTCAGGAGTTTGAAACCAGCCTGAGTAAGAGTGAGACTCCATCTCTACTAAAAATAGAAAGAAATTAATTGGCCAACTAAAAATACATAGAAAAAACTACCGGGCATGGTGGCACATGCCTGTAGTCCAGCTACTCGGGAGGCTGAGGCAGGAGTCGCTTGAGCCAGGATTTGAGGTTCTGTGATACCTGACGCCACAGCACTCTAGCCTGGGCAACAGAGTGAGACTCTGTCTCAAAAAAATTTGACTGCAATGATGCTGCTTTGAAGTGTTTTTTCTGACCCAGGCACAGGCATTAGCTGATTTAACCCTCACAACAAAAATGAGAGAACATTTTATAGATAAGAAAACTGAGACTCAAAGAGGGTAAGTCACTAGCCCAAGGCCACACACCTCATATTTGAACCCCAGCCTGTATTTTTCAAAATGCAGATGCTTGCACTACATCTCCTACTCCTAAAGAAGGCCTTATAGTGGTGGCATAATAGTGGTTTCAGGTCACTTTGCCTTGCACAGTACTGTGGAACCAATATTTTACAATGAGTGCTAAAGTTTCTCCACCCCAATTATTCTGCAACCTTGAAACTAACCAGGCTCCCTAACGGTCATAAGAAAGAAGCTGACAGAAGGAAGAACAGATTCACCAAGATATAACCATTGTCTTTGGAGGTGAATATGGAAAGGGGGAAATGTAAGGTAATAACAGGCTACTTCAATGGTCCACGGACCAATAGCTAAGAAACAATTCAACAGACATTTAAGTCCCATTTTCTTACACCCTGTTGTTCATGGGGTTGTCAAAGCATGCTTAGGTCAGAGCCTCAGAGCACAGTAAGTCTACACAAAGAAAGCCTTTAAGCTGGGTATCTAGACTGCCTCCTGAGGCAATAGCATGTTAGGAGACCCCAACGCGCACTACAGAGGACCCAGAGACTGACAAGAAGGATCAGACACAGAAAATCACAATCACAGCCTTTGAAGTGGCCATTCCCTCCAGGCTGAAACCAGCCCTGCCAGCAAGCTGAAGGTATCCTGAATCACACACTTCAACAGGGAGCTTGCAGCCCAAGCCAGCCCTCTGCATGTGGGAGAGCAGCTGTGGCACTGTGGTCTGGTGACAGGAACACAGGCTTTGAGATCAGGAGTCCCAAGTCCAAATCCTAACACTGATGCTTAGTAGCTGTGTGGCATTTAAAAAGCATGGAAATGCTGCCAAGGATATAGTTTTCATCTAAAAAATGAAAATAAAAATATCTTCTGCATAGTGCTGTTTTGAGAATTAAATGAGCTCACAAATGTTAAAAGCCAATTATAAACTATAGATTATAATTGATTACACTCTTATTCGGTTTCATCACCCTGTTAGTGCAGTGTGTGATGGAGATTCATTAAGGTGCTCTTGCTGCAGCAGGCAGGCCTGACACTCTGCTTTGCAACTTGCAGTGTCCCAGGGTTCTGATTTAAGCATCTTATACAAACCCTTAGAACAGCCAGCTATGTTATAAAATGCAACTGAACATGCTAAGTGACATGCTAAGCCAGTTACAGAGAAAAATATATTCTATGAGTCCACTTATATGAGCTACCTAGAGTAGTCAAATTGAGAGGGACAGAAAGTAGAATGGTGGTTTCCAGGGGCTGGGGAAGGGCAGAATGTGGAGCTAGTATCTAAGGGCAGGGTTTCAGTTTGGGGCAATAAAAGATGTTCTGGAGATGGAAGATGGTGAAGGTTACACAACTGTGGAAATGGACTTTGACACCACTGAAATGTATACTTAAAAATGGTTAAGATGGTAAATGTTCTGCATCTTTTATCACCCAATTTAATTAATTAATAATAAGTAAATAAATGAATGAAAGAAATGCCTTCTGACTTGTTACCTCCTCACACATATCCCCTTCTCCATACCTTCCTCCAAGGACAGTGGTTGATGCCTAATGGCTTCGTCTTTTTCCCTTCGCAGCTTCTTTCTTATACCTGTTAGGGAGCCTGGTTAGTTTCACAGGTTGCAGAACAATTTGGATTGAGAAGCAAAGTCTAAAAACAAAGAGATCAAAGATATAAATAGTGTGTTAGTGCTCACTGGTCTAAAACTTGGAAATCTTGGCTCAAGATTGCTTCTCAGCAAAATCGAGGTTTCTGTGTAGACTGATCTCCATCCAGGGTCAGATAGGCTAATCCTTTTATTTCTCCCAGAGAAGGCCAGATGTGAAAATGTCTTCAACAGGCCCCTTGAACTCTTCAAAAGAATATTCCTGAAAAATAAATAACAGTTGATTCGGAAAACTAGTTGTGCAAACTACTCCACGCTGGCCAGGTTACCTGCGGCTCTAGTGAGAATGACTGTAACCTCTGCTCTAAGCCAAGATAGAAAGTGAGCTTCTCACCCTGTTCTTTAACTAGATAGGTAAGGCTTTAACAGGATGACATCTAAGATCTGCCCCACCAGCTGAAACAGTGAGCAAATACAAAAGCACCCCATGTGCAGAAGCATGTGGAAGCAAGAGTAACACCAACGTGTGTGAGAGACCCCACCTCAGGGTCTGCTCACCTATGGTAAGGGCTCACTGAATATAACTGATTCAGAATCTTTCCACCCCTAAAAGGCACTGCTAAATGCTAACCTTCCTCTGCGGACTCACCAGGTGCTATAAATGCCTCACCTCCGTGTGCCAGCTCCAGTACTTAATTACTTTCTTGCTAAGCAAGTCACCAATCTACCCTAAAATAGAACAGGGTCTACCCTAAAATAGAACAGTCTACCCTAAAACTCACTAAAACTAGAACTGAGAGAAGTGTTTGCTAGACTGAGAAGCCTGAAGCATTTAAGGTGTATGAAATGGAAAATTAAAATCAGAGAATTAAATTCCCTAAACTTTTCTTGCATCCTCTGTCTGGAGACTTTCTGAGACAAGCAAAAGTCAATTTCCCAATTGCTTCATTGAGAGGTTAGGGAACCTACCTGTAATTAACCCAATTATAAAGCCGGGCCTCTTACTTGCTCCCTTGATACTAGCCTCCACCCTCCCCCGCCCCCGCCCGCTCTGGCCCCCATGGCTTTCCCCCTCCGTTCTCGAGTAAGCAACACAGGAGAATCCAGCATCACATCACCCCTCTGTCCCCACCACAGACATCCTCAAGGGCTCTTGGTGGCCTCTTCTGACCTCAGGCCTCATTGGACCAATAATGGGAGTTCCAGGAAGACTTTAACCAAGTGGACCTGGACCACTTCACACACATACTTCAGACATGCCACCTGAATCAGAGAATGCTACACACACGATGGCCTTCGAGTTCATCTTGCCCAACTCACTCACTTTAAAGATGGGAAAACAGCCAAAGAGAAAAGATTACTTGTCCATTGGTAGCTTAGCCAAACCAGCTCTCTCCCAACTCTTAGTATAAGCATCTTCCAGCTGCTCCTTCTTAAAGTTCTAAGCATTTCATCACAATTTCGCAGCGCATGGCTTTCACATGCAGGGGCTTTAGAACGATTCAAGTTCCCTAACTTCTAAACATAGTTTCCTAGGCAACACATTACCTTACATTTGTGTCAGACATTATTATCTTTCAACTTTTCCAATATCTCAAATGTAATCAAAGTAACACTCTACTGGGGTAACTACTATTCCCATTTGACAGATTAGGTACCTAGGGCCCAGAAAGGTTAAGAAAATGGTTCAAATCTGTAACACTAATAAATTGCCCAATTGTTTATTTTTGCTTTTGTTACCTGTGCTTTTGGTGTCAAATTCATGAAATCATTACCAAGCCCAATGTCATGAAGCTTTTCCCCTATGTTTCCTATGTTTTCTTCTAGGAGTTTTATAGTTTCGGGTTTTACATTTAAGTCTTTAAACCATTTTGAATTGATTTTTATAGAGAGGATGAAATAAGGGCCCAATTTCATTCTTTGACATGTAAACATCCAGTTTTCCTAACACCATATATTGAAGAGATTGTGCTTTTCTCATTTTGTATTCTTGGCATCCTTTCAAAAATAAGTTATTCGTACATGCATGGATTTGTTTCTGGGTTCTCTGTGCTTTTCCATTGGTCTATGTCTGTCTTTATGCCAGTACCATAGTGTTTTAATTACTGCAGCTTTGTAATATGTTTTGAAATAAGGATGTGTGACATTTCCAGCTTTGATATATGAACATTTGATCGAGCAGTTTTATTTCTGGAACTATATCCTACAGATTAGTTGCACATATTTAAATTAAGATCATTCACTACAACACTATTTGAAAACAATCCAAGACTACTTAAGGTAAATGATAGTATGGTCATTCTATAAATACCACAAAACTATAAGAAAAGAATTAGGACAATTCACAATTGCAAAGATGCAGAAACAAGGCAAGTGCCCATCAATATGTGAGAGGATTAAAAAAATGTGGTATATATATATATATATATATACACCATGGAGTTCTACTTGGCAATAAAAAAATAGTAATGCAAAACCTTTTGTATTAACCTAGAAGGAACTGGAGACCATTCTTCTAAGTGAAGTATCACAAGAATGGGAAAACAAACACCACATGTACTCACCATTAAATTGAAACTAATTGATCAACACCTATATGCACATATGGAAATAAAACTCATCAGAAATCAAGCAGGTGGGAGAGGGGAAGATGGGATGGGTAAATTCACACCTAATGGGCACAATGCACACTACCGGGTGATAGGCACGCTTATAACTTTGGTTTGGTACAAAAGCAAAAAAAAAGGGAAAAAAACAAATTAAGGAAACAAAAAGGTTGGAACCCCGGAAACCAAAAAAAAACCAAAAAAAATAAAAATCCGAAAACCAAAAAAAACGAAAACCAAAAAAATCCGAAAATCCGAAAACCAAAAAAAAAAATCCGAAAACCAAAAAAAAAAAAAATAATTAGGAAGGTTTCTTTGTACTAATGTAGAAAAATCTTCAAAATATGCTGTTAATAAAGCAAGTTTCAGATCCATTTATATAGTATGTTATTATTCATGTAAAAAAGATAAATGGGAACATATATGTTACACTTGTCTTTGCTTAAAGAAACTAAAATAAACATAGGAAACTAGGAAAAGAAAAGTGGAAAGTGGAAGGTAGGGATGAGGAAAGGAATGGAATGAAACTTCTCACTCATGTACCTTTTTATTTTTTTTAACCCTTATGAATATATTACCTTTGCACAAAATTAAATTAAAAATTTAAGTAATTTTTCAAAGAAAATGTGTATTTAATGGTGTAATATAATCTAAACACAAAAGCAATGAAATAAACCAATAGAAAAAAATGAATTACCCTCATTTGATAATTAAACATTATATATACACATCAAAATATCACTCTGTATTCCACAAATATGTGAAATTATTACATGTCAACTAAAAAGGAAACAAAGATTAAATTTTAAAAACTGATAGATTTTACTATATACAAATGTAAAGAAAGCTTTGAAACATTGGAAACTTTGTAAATAAGACTCAAAGCCAATTAAACATGAAAACATCCATCCTCACAAAGAATCAAGAACATACTAACTAAACAACAATAAGATCTCTATTTAATTTGAAGAACATTTTTAACTTTTTATTGTAAAATAATTTGACTTACAAAAAAGTTACAGTAATAGTACAAAGAATTTCTGTTTTCACTTAATCCAGATTCCCAAAATATTAGTATTTAGCCAGATTTTCCTTATCCTTCATTCTCTCAATAAATAGATACACAGACAAATAGACAGAATTTTTCCTGATACAATGGAGATGGAGAGAAGTAGGTCAAAGGATACAAACTTGTAGGTGTGTAGGATGAATAAGTCTAGAGATCTAACATACAGCATGAGAACTAATATTGTGTTGTATACTGCAAATTGGCTAACAGAGTAGATTTTAGGTATACTTACCACAAAAAAAAGCTAACTTTGGAAGGTATGTTAATTTGCCTGACTATACTAGTCATTTCACTGTGTTCTATATATGTATACAAAACAGCATGTTGTTTGCCTTAAGTATATATAATAAAAATGATCATTTTTTCTAAATTGCTTAAAAACTAACAATATGATGTCCCTTTAACTCTAGATATCACAATGAGTAATTCCAAAATCCAAGGACATAATCTGAAATAGACACAATACAATTATCAAAATCAGAAAAATAATGTTGACATAATTTGATTATCTCATCTATAGAGGTTTGTCACACTAATGTCCTTTATCTAATACAGTATCCAATCCTGGAGCACAAGTGGCCTTGTCATCTCTCTTTAATCTAGAACAATTCTTCAATCTTTCTTTGCCTTTACACTTTTGAAGCATTTTGCAGAATGTTCTTCAATTCAGGTTTCCCTTATGCATATTCATGATTAGACTCAGGTTGTGTATTTTGATACCACAGTAAAGATATTATATGCCTCTCCAGTACACCACAAGAGGCCCATGACATCTATTTGTCTCATTCCTGGTGATGTTAACTTTGGGCAATTGCTTAAAGGGGGGCTGTGAAATTATATTTTTTCCCTTTGGAATTAATAAGCATCTTGTGGGGAAATACTTTGAGACAATCTACAATCCAATTTCTGATGAAAAAAGTATTCAATGGCAGTATCTCATTCTGCAAGAATAATTTTACAACATATGTGATTTCATTTGGCCCTGTGCATCAAAAGCCTTTATAGTCTAACACAGCATATTAACTATAAGAAGTAAGTTGAAAATAAAATCAGAAGTAAAATTAAAGTTTTCTATTCAAGAATATTCACTGCAGTATTATTTATGGTATTTCAAAAATCAGTAAATGCATAAGAGGAAATACTTCACAAGTGATTAAAATGAAGTTTCTGAAGATAGACACCAAGTAAAATAACACTAGTACTAAAAAGTCCTATGAACTTCCCTTAAAATCCTACTTCTTCTTCAGTTTAGACACAGCAGGATCCCGACCCAAGGATAAAATCCAAGACTCGAACTCTATTTCTCTTCCAGGTTCATCGTCCTGATCCACAGCCTCTTCATGGCCTTCTTCACTTCAGCATTTCTCAGGGAGTAGATGACAGGGTTGAGGAGTGGGGTTACCACTGTGTAGAACACGGCCACCATCTTGTCCACAGGCAGAGTGGCAGAAGGCCTCAGGTATATGAAGATGCAGGGCCCAAAGAACAAGATAACCACGGTGACATGGGACCCACAGGTGGAGAGGGCTTTGCGCCGCCCCTCCGAGCTCCGGATCCTCAGATGGAGCAAGATGACCACATAGGATGCCAAGAGGACCACAAAGCTGATGACGGACAGGGTCCCCCCATTGGCAACAATCAGCAGACCAATGCGGAAGGTATCAGAGCAGGCAAGTTTGAGAAAAGGAAGCAGGTCACAGAAATAGTGGTCGATCACATTGGGGCCACAAAAAGGCAAGTGGAATATGAGAAGGATTTGGGCAAATGAATGCACAAAGCCTCCCACCCATGCTATTCCCACGAGGACAGCACACACCTGCCGGTTCATAATGGTGGTGTAGTTGAGGGGCTTGCAGATGGCCACATAGCGGTCATAGGCCATCACGGTGAGCAGGAACATCTCAGTACCGCCAAAGAAATGGATGAAGAAAAGCTGTGTCATGCAGCCCCACAGAGATATGGCTTTCCTTTCAGCCAGCAGATCTGAGATGAGTTTGGGGACCGTGGTGGAGGAGTAGCAGATTTCCACGAAGGACAGGTAGCTGAGGAAGAAGAACATAGGGGAACCAAGACTTCTACTGGTCATGACAGTGAGCACGATGAGAAAGTTCCCCAGCACAATTGCTGTGTACAAGAGCAGAAATACCACAAAGCAAACTCTCTGCACCTCCTGGTTGGGGGAAAGTCCCAGAAAAATGAATTCACTCACATTGTGCGTGTTAACCATGTGGTCGCCACCAAGAGGCAGCAGTAGCATGATGTGATCTGAAATAATACAACACAAAAGACTTCTTTTTAAGCATGTTAATTACATAAAAACCCTTGCATGTCTGAGAAGCTTGTGAGCAGGACATTGAAAGATGGGTAGGACGTAGTTATGCATAGGAGGGAAGAGCATTCTAAGAAGGCAGAGAGCAAGCGCCAATGTTTCATGAATAGCTGGAATAAAGGGAAGAATAGCAAAAAATAAAGATGTAAATAGAGACTGGCAGCAATCTGTGAAGAACCATTAGGGATTTGGGGGTTGATCCTGAAAACAATGGGCAATCATCAAGAAAGTTTGTCAACTGGAGAGTAGATGCACTTTGTATGTAGAAGGTGGAATAGTGGGAACAGACCAGAGGAGGGAACCTAGTAGGAGTAAGTCACCTCTGGATGATGTTAGATGTCTTTCTAGTGCCTTTAAATGTCACCTGCAACTTTCCTTCATCCCACTTCTTTCTGATCCTTTTCTCTCCTTGGTTTACAGAACAGAACAGAACAGTGTCCTCAACCTCTCCACACCCTTTACAGTCTTCACAAGAGATGTCACTGGGGCAGCTCCCTTGACACTCAGCACCCCTCTTATTTCTGCTTATCCTAATTCTCTATTTCTGTTCTTGGTCACTTAGCGACCTTGTTCCATTCCAAGGTCCAGCTCAATCCAAGGACAATTCTTCCCTTTACTGGTACTTTCATTTCCTCCAATCCTCTGCTCCCATGACAACAAAGCTCCAAACTACCCCTCACCCCTGCCCAGGGCCCACTCATTCTCTGACACATCCTTCTAACAGCTCAGGCTCCCAGCACCTCAGGACATCACCAGGACCACTCACTGATTGCTTTGCAACCTGCCATAGTCCATGCTGCACTTTGTACCAACAAGGTGGCTGAGCTCTGTGTATCAACACAGTGAGGCTGCAGGGCACCTGAGAACAGGAAGCAGAAGACTTCCACTCATGCCACAAAGCTTCCTTCCCTCAGTGACTGGCAGAACCTCACAGGATTAGACCAACACAAGCCAAGACAAGACCAACACAAGCCAACACAAGACCAACACAAGAAGGATATCATGGATAGAACTTACGAAAACAAAGAAAGGGCAGAAACCAGCCCTAAACAGTCAGATCAGCTGAAGAATTCTACCAAGAATCTGGTCATAGATGAAAGCACTGCTAGCAGTCTGGACTCCTGGGTCGACATTCAAGTTTTTTCAGGTAGTATCTATGTAATATGCAGAAAGTTCTTTATCCCCTCAGAGACTCAAATTCTATGTAACTGCAACATGCAGATAATACCTGCCTCACAGATGCCATAAATGCACAACCAGCCCTATCCCAGGATGAGTTAAACTCCAGTCCACTGTGCTGCCTGGATTCCACTCAGAGATTGGAAATCCATCTCCCCAATGTGTAGCCCCTCATGGCCAGTGGCCCCTCTCATCTGAGAACATTTTGGAATGTGGTCAGGGCACTGATCACACTGAGTGATAATTGTTTTACGTGGCCATCTGCCCCACTGGAGTGTGAGCTTCCTGAGGGCAGAGGTTATAGCTCACTCCCCACTCAATCTCCAGTGCTTGCTGAATTGCCTGCCATGAAATAGCATTCAGTGAATATAGACAGAATAAATGAACAGTGGATATATACCTCCCCTACACTTCTTATGATAGTATTTGGTTAGTGCAGGTGTTCAATAAATACTGAAAGAGCAAAGGTCCCGAGGACAGAGACCACACCTTCTCCATCCCTGACCCCAGGGCCTAGCATTGCACTTGCTTCAGAGAGGGACCAACTCAGGAGCACTTTGCAAAATGTCGTGTGCACCTGGCACCAATCCCTTCTCTTTCAAAGTGGAATTGACCACCACATGCAAAAGAAGCCCATGGTCATAAAACAAAACTCACCCCAGTGTCTCTGTGGCTCTGCTGTTCTCACTACAGTTATCTTTTGTGTTCTGACCACAAAGATGTAAATAATGCCCTGAGAGCAGCCCTGGCTCATACCGCTTTCTCAGTTAGCCAATCAAGAAGCCTTACAAATGGCCCAGCTACCAAACAGAGCACCTGCCTCACTGGAGACCCCAGATGGAGGATCTTCTCCCTGTAGCCTCAGGCTTAGGAATGCTGAGACTAATATGCTGGGGCCTCAATTCCACTGGATTTAAAACAAGAGGGAAGCAGACTTGCCTCCAAGATGTTCCACAGAGAATCAAGGACTCTGGCAGCTCAGCCCTGAGTTCACACTACTTAAGGAACACCAGGGAGAAGATGTAATCTGGTGAGAGAAGCTTGGTCCCCAGAAGGCCATACCCTTTTTCTCCTTCCTAATCAGGCAGCCTACCTCTTGGGAAGCAGGACCTCAAACTCCTTGTAGGAAACAACTTGAGGGAAATAACTCAAACCTGTAGGAAAAGCTCAAACTTCCTTGTACGAAACAACTTCAGAAGCATGAAATAAGAAAAATTAGGGGGAGGAATCAAGATGGCAGATGAGAAACACCGCCAGACAGAGTGTCTCTACAGAAAAGACAGATTCTAGCAGAAATTAGAAAAAAGAAGCAAGAAGACGAGCATACAGCAGACAAGGGCCGGAAGGAGGGGTACCTGAGACCAAGGGACACTCCACGGAAGGAGGTGGCAGAGGAGAACTAGAAGCTGAGACTGCCGGAGCAGCCCAGAGACCAGCGGGAAGGGTAGGTGGATCAGTCACCTTTCTCCTCCCCTGCATCTGGGACTGCCGGTGGGCTCCCCAGCGGGTGGAGAGACCTGCGGACATCAGCCCAGAGACAGCCGCCAGCAGGGAGCAGTAAGCCTGTAGCGGATGTGGCATCAGGCTCCCAAATCCCCCGGAGCACCTCCGTGTGCACAGACCCGAGCTGCACGGCAGGCGCCATATTGCCTCCTTCTTCCCTCTGCTGACCCTACCTGCGGCTGCCCAAAGAGACAATACAACCACCAGCCGGAGGCACCTCCAGGGAATGGGCCCTTCCCTTTTGGGACCCTAGAGTTGAATGAGGGGAACTCAGACTGGGAGCACCCTCCTACCAGCCCTCCCAGGTGCTGCTGGCACGGTGATCCCAGGAGAATGGTGCAGACCCTGAGGCTGAGAGACATAGACCCAGCTTGGGCTCCCTGTGGGTGAATTGAGACCAGAACTCCTCTCCCTGGTGGGGATATAGTTTGAACTCGGACCTGCAGACCAGATCCCGTGCACGTGCACCGAGGTATAGCATTGCCCAGGGCACAGAAGGGATATACCTGAACAGCCTACTGAGGTGTGTGTGCCTTCAGGGGAAGATCAGCATCCTAGAGGGCAACTCTCCTCCCTAAAGGAGGCCGTACACCCAGCCGAGGTAGCATTCCTGCACAGGGAACCTCCCCGCCAGCATCACAGGCAGAGGAGGCCTGGTGGCGTGTGGTCTGGCCTGCTGGCAGAGGCCCATGAGTAGCTGCAGAGTTGGGGGGGTGGAAAGAAGCAAGGCCTGCTCCAGACTGTGGGTCTCAGACAGCCCCACCTACACACACAGATATTCTGGCTGAGTGGGGCCATTCCAGCCCCTCCCTGGCAGCTTTTCCTGGAAGCAGAGAAAAGAACTTTGACCCCTGCTAATGGCATTGGTGGTGCCTGAGGGCAGGCTTACCCAACCCAGCTCCACCCAGACTTCTCCTAGACCAGCCTCACCTGAGGGGAGAAAAGGACACACCTGGAAGTCCCAGGGCCCCATCCACCACCTGAGGCACTAGAGTTCTCCCTACAGGAACAAGAGCTGATAACAGGACATAAAAAGAACAGCGTAGCCTGTTCCTCCAAGCAAGTGCCATCTACTGACAGGGAGGAACACTCCTACACTGCTGGTGGGACTGCAAACTAGTTCAACCTCTGTGGAAAGCAATATGGAGATACCTTAAAGCGATACAAGTGAATCTACCATTTGATCCAGCAATCCCATTGCTGGGCATCTACCCAAATGATCCAATGACACTCTACAAAAAAGACACCTGCACTCGAATGTTTATAGCAGCACAATTCATAATTGCAAGGCTGTGGAAACAGCTCAAGTGCCCATCAATCCAAGAATGGATTAATAAAATGTGGTATATGTATACCATGGAGTACTATTCAGCTCTAAGAAACATGTGTATATAGCACATCTTATATTTTTCCTGGTTAGTGCTGGAACCATACTATTAAGTGAAGTTTCCCAAGAATGGAAAAACAAGCACCACATATACTCACCAGCAACGGTATTAACTGAGTAGCACCTAAGTGGTCACATAGGTACTACAGTAATAGGGTATTGCCAGGTGGATGGGGGAGGAGGCGGGTATATACATATATGATGAGTGAAATGTGCACCATCTGGGGATGGTCATGCTGGAGACTCAGACTTGTGGGGGAGGGGGGAAATGGGCATTTATTGAAACCTTAAAATCTGTACCCCCATAATATGCCGAAATAAAAAAGAAAGAAAAAATTAAATTCATCCAAATCTCACAGAGCACTTATTCTGCCTAGACTGTTCAGGGGCAGTGAGCTATAGCTGTACCTATAGGAAGGCATCCAATTAGGGGCATAAAAGGTCAAACTGTCTCTTTTTATTGATGATATGATCTTATACCTAGAAAACCCCAAAAATTATGCCATTAGATCACTGGAATTAATAAAAAATTCAGCAAAGTCTCAAGTAAAAATCAATATACAGAATCAATAGTATTCTATATGTTAACGGTAGTCAAACTGAGAAACAAGTCAAGAATCAATACGGTTTACAATAGCAACAAAGAAAATAAAGTATCTTGGAATATGTTTAAGGAGGTGAAAGATCTCTATAAGGAGAACTATGAAACACTGAGAAGGATATAGCACAGACATAACCAGGAGAAAAACATACCATGTTCGTGGTTGGCAGAATCCACATTGTTAAAAATGTCTATACTACCAAGAGTGACTACAGATGAATGCAATCTCTATTAAAAGTGCATCA